TTTCACCATGTTGACCAGGATGGTCTCGATCTCTTGACCTCGTGATCCACCCGCCTCGGCCTCCCAAAGTGCTGGGATTACAGGCTTGAGCCACCGTGCCCGGCCATCATCTGGAAATTTAAGAGGCAGAGCTCTGTTTTGGTCTGGAGACCTAACTCAAGAGCATTATAATTATGCATGAGTCATCTACATTTAAAGGCCAGCATTCTAGTCCTTAGTTTAGGCCTTAGAAATCAAGGGCTTCTATTGTGACTTCTACTGAAAGGAAACTTCACCTGTCATTGTGTACATTGAAGTGTTCTGAATCTTATTTGTAATCATTAGTCCTTCATGGGCCTTCTTTTTAGTGTTTGTTCTGTTAACTATGCATAAAAGTTACTAAATGTGATCTTGTTTCTTCCTCTAGCATGACAATTCTCATGCTACACAGGAAATGTACAATTGTCGGTTTCTTGGTAACAACTGGGATGTCCCAATCAGAATGGTGAATTTAATTTGGCATCTGATGGAATGGGTGGCCATGGTGAAGGAGAACCAGGGAACTCTAGTAAACTGAATGGAAGTAGTGAAAGAAGTGGTTGTTTTCCCTACAATCTCAGAAGTAATTAAGATCATTAAAGAAAAGAAAATTTCCTCTGGAAAGCAACATTATTACATAATAGAAGTTTCATTTTGTCTCACACAGCTCAAAGAAAATGAACGGCACCCTGGACCACCCAGACCAACCAGATCTTGATGCTATCAAGATGTTTGTGGGCCAGGTTCCAAGGACCTGGTCTGAGAAGGACTTGCGGGAACTCTTCGAACAGTATGGTGCTGTATATGAAATCAACGTCCTAAGGGATAGGAGCCAAAACCCTCCTCAGAGCAAAGGTCAGGGCTTTGGGTTTTGGTTTATCTTATTTTTACCACTGACTCTCAGAGCAGGTGAGGGCTTTGGGTTTTTAACAGGACACAACAAAATTTGATTTTTATATGTAGTTTCTTTCATGTCCATTCTTTCTCTCATTGCCAGAATACTCCTGTCTGTCTATCTATTGGGGAAAAAATCCGTCCTTTTATAGTAATAATATCTTGTAATTCAAACACATTTAATGGCTTTAAAAAGTTAAGCATGAGGATAATTTGTTAATTGGATCTTGGGCAATCCTTTGTGAGGGCTCTAAATTTAAGAGACAGACTCACATGAGTGTCTCATTTGATCTTGGGACCAGAATGACAAAGGTAAAATAGAAGTAAACCGTATAAAGTTTTCTTCAGTGTTTGTGCTAGCATAAGCTGAAAGAGAAAGACTGTCCACATAACCTATAGGTTTCTTGTTAGTATTACAGAGGCCTTGCAGGGTGGTTTATCAAATAGAAAGAAGATGTTTAGGCAACTTGTTTGCTGTTGCTACAAAATGAACAGAAGAAAGGCTGAGCTACTTCCAGAAATGCCAAGCAGAGTGGAAGTTTGACAGGACTGATGGTAGATAGGTATTAACTTTGCCCCATATACACACAGACGTATTCTTATTTTCCGTTTGACCAGTTTTCAAGTAATTTTCTGTGAAAGCTGTTCAACAGTGCAAATGTGAGCAAGCATGATTGTCATATTTGAAACCAGCTTAATAGCTGAGGATCTAGAAGCAGAGGAATTACTTTCTCTTTTTGGCGTAGTTAACTAAAAAATATATAGAATAATAGTTTCTGAACATGACTAGCAATAAAACATTCAGTAATTTACAATCCTAACTGCTGCAGCATGATTTTGAAAGAACTCTATATTGTATCTCATGAGAATATGGGAATGTCAGAACATCGAAGCCCAAGATTTACAAGATATACTATACTTCCTCCCCTCTTACCCCCAATAAAGATACAAAGCACAAAATCTACAGATCTGAGGCAGCACCATGTGCTTTTAGAAGCTTAATTATATTTGATGAGAACCAAGAGTCCAAAAAAAGATGTTAAAGAGGTGCTTGCTCTTAAGTCATTTTATAATTTAATAAATGATAATTATGTTTGAGGCATATGGTAGAATCTGGCTATGAAGTAGGGAATAGTTTATTCTGAGAGAGCAGTGAAAGAAAGAGTTCCTGGTAGACTACAAGCTGCAAAAGTATAGAGTCCCGTCTGTCTTCTTGTCTCGTATACCACCTGGTGTTCCAAGCAGAGTGGATTGAATCAAATGGCACATAACCTTTCTTTATAAGAGAAGTCATCTTTTCCAGAGAAGTTATATGAGCAGCTAAATAAGACTTATAATGTAACTAGGAGGAGACTGAAACAATAAAGTGCATCGAAAATAATCTCTTATTTCCTGTTAGATACTCATATTCATTCTTTTCCACTACCCTCCCCTACCCCTTTCACTAATTTTAATAAACCCAGCTCTCTCTTTTAAGATCTGATAATGTCAGTGGAAGAACGATTGCTCCAGGAATTCTCTGCTTTCAAAGTTTGATTTTATGAAATCTTATTTATTGCAGGGTGCTGTTTTGTTACATTTTACACCCGTAAAGCTGCGTTAGAAGCTCAGAATGCTCTTCACAACATGAAAGTCCTCCCAGGGGTAAGAAAGCTCCCACTAGTAAATGTAAATGTGGTAATTTTGATAGATGGGATTTACTTATGCATATCTGGCACACACTGAAAAACATTTTGGGGACAAGGTAACTGCTGCAGGAATTGATGTAAAGGGAGCACTTCAGAGATTACCTGACAGCTCTCTCTCAACCGAGTCTTGTGTATTTTGACTCCTTGACTCACATTTATTTTCTGGGAAAAGATCGTGAAGTAGACATGAGTTCAGAGAGAACTCTTTAAAGCTCTAGTTCTTATATTTTAGAGTACATATATATTTCTCAATGCCATCAATGTCAGTGATGGTAATCATAATTTTCCTTTTTAGATGCATCACCCTATACAAATGAAACCTGCTGACAGTGAGAAGAACAATGGTAAGCAAATATATACACTTTTCCCCTTAAGATTTTTGCCTAGGCTGGGCATGGTGGCTCACACTTGTAATCCCGGCACTTTGGGAGGCCAACGTGGGTGGCCAGAAGTTCGAGACCAGCCTGGCCAACATGATGAAACCCCATCTCTACTAAGACTACAAATATTAGCCACGTGTGGTTGCGCATGCCTGTAATCTCAGCTACTCAGGAGGCTAAGGCATGAGAAAATCGTTTGAACACGGGAGGCAACGGTTGCAGTGAGCCAAGATCACACGAGTGCACTCCTGCCTCGGCAACAGAGTGAGACTCTGTCTAAAAAAAAAAAAAAAAAAAGAAATTCTGTCTAGTTTGTTTGCTGTTCTTAGAATATTTGAATTGAATTGTGTTTTAAGTAATCCATTGTCTACATTATCTCAGTTTTTTTCTTTAAAATATGATAAATGAGAGTAGAGCTGATAGAGAAATATAAGAACATTGTAGAATGAACTGGAATGAATATACTTGGTCAGTACAATTTCTTTTGGTCAGGAATAAGGGGGCAAAATGAGCAAATTAGGAAGGAGAACTTAATCCTCAAGAAAATAGTCAGGGCCAGGCTTGGTAGCTCATGCCTGTAATCCCAGCACTTTGGGATCACCTGAGGTCAGTAGTTTGAGATCAGCCTGGCCAACGTGGTGAAATCACATCTCTACTAAAAATATAAAAATTAGCCCAGTATGGTGGCGCACACCTGTAATCCCAGCTACTCAGGAGGCTGAGACAGGAGAATCGCTTGAACCCAGGAGGCAGAGGTTACAGTGAGCTAAGATTGCGCCACTGCACTTGAGCCTGGCCAACAGAGCGAGACTCGGTCTCAAAAAAAAAAAAAAAAATCTGAAAAGTAGATAGTTATACTTACTGAAAGATCTGATCAGAAAAGTAGACAGTACACTCACAGTGAAAGGTCTGTTCTCTTCCATTTTGTCATATCAAGTAAGTGTGAAAACCTCGTCTTTAGTAGAAGTATTGCTGGTAAGAGCAAACAATGCTGTCTGGGCACAGTGGTGTACGCCTTTAATCACAGCACTTTTTAAGAGGCTGAGGCCAGAGGATTGCTTGAGCCCAGTAGTCTGAGACCAGCCTTGGCAACAGAGTGAGACCTCTCTGCAAAGGTGTGGTGGTATACACCTGTGGTCCCAGCTATTCGGGAAGCTGAGGTGGGAAGATTGCTTGAACCCGACAGGTCAAGGCTGCAGTGAGCCATGATCATGCCACTGCACTCCAACCTGGGTGACAACGAGACCCTGTCTCAAAAAGGGCAAACAATACAAAGGACTAGGGAGATGCCAAGTACTTTGCATTTAATAGCTACTATTACCCTTTGAAGTAAACCTGATTGTTCCCATTAATCAGATGAGGAAACGTGCACAGAATGGTTAAGTAACTTTAACAAGATTACAAAGCTACCATATTTCATCTGAATGCTTTTAATTATAATTTTAAGATAAATTGGTTATAAGGAGAGATGTGAAAATTGAAAAACAAATGTATGTCTTGGAATCTGTGAAGTATGGTATGAAGGCACAGAGCCAGGAATTAAACCCAGGAGGTCTGGCTACCGAGTCTGTGCCACATTGCCTCTTTTAGTAATAATATTCAAGTCTTTTGTGTTTTACTCTCTTAGCAGTGGAAGACAGGAAGCTGTTTATTGGTATGATTTCCAAGAAGTGCACTGAAAATGACATCCGAGTCATGTTCTCTTCATTTGGACAGATTGAAGAATGCCGGATATTGCGGGGACCTGATGGGCTGAGCCGAGGTAGGTACAGTTTTAGCTTTTAAATAATCTGGTTGTTTTGTTTTGTTTTGTATTTTGTTTTAGAGACAGGATCTTTCCCTCTCTCATCCAGGCTGGAGTGTAGTGGTGCATTCACAACTAACTGCAGCCTGAACCTCCCTGGATCAGCCTCCTGAGTAGCTGGGACCACAGGCATGCACCATGATACCCAGCTAATTTTTAAATTTCTTCCTGTGTTGCCCAGGCTGGTTTTGAATTCCTGGGCTCAAACAATCCTCTCACCTCAGTCCCCCAAAGTGCTGAGATTACAGTTCAAATACCCTAAGAACAGCAAACAAACTAGGCAGAAATCTTTTTAATTAGACCAGTGGAAATGAGCTACAGTGATTCCCTAGCCTACATGACCCAGTCAAGATAAAGAGGTTGGGCTTGCTGCTTCCTGCTGTCTATCTATGTCCTATCTTGACTCCTCCTGTTCATTCTTTTTGTCTCTCAACCCTCTAAGGAGTCTACATTCTGTATTTCACTGTGATGTATTAAAATTTTCTCTTTTGATGCTTTGTAGGATTCTTGATCCCAAAATGGAAATACTTACTTCTCCAGTTTTATTTTCAAGTGGAACTAGAGGATATTATTCCTCCTTTCTCCCTTCAGGCACTTTTTTTTTTTTCCTGTCAGTGGTTCTCTGGTTTTTCATTATAGCACATCTCACCCTGTTGCAACATACTAGCACGTGATCCCCTGAAAACAGGGACTGTGTCTGTATTGCTAGCATGATAGTCAGCACATAGTAGATGTTCAGTAAATGTCTGTCAGAGAAATAAATGAATGCATGAGTTACTGACTCTTCTCTTACCAGGTTGTGCATTTGTGACTTTTACAACAAGAGCCATGGCACAGACGGCTATCAAGGCAATGCACCAAGCACAGACCATGGAGGTAGGGAGCAGATAGGTGATGGGGCAAATTCCTCAGCCTGAGAAATCTGAGACAGTTGGCCATTAAAGTCTAGCAGCATGTGTAGCATCTGATTGCCCAGAAAGTTAAACAGCCAGCATCTTGAAGTTAAAAACTGCTGATTTCTTTAAAATTAACATATTGCAAATACTTGCTCCCCCTGTCTCTTTTTTTGAGATGGGTTCTTACTTTGTCACCTGGGCTGGAGTGCAGTGAGAAGATCATGGCTTACTGCAGTCCCAACCTCCCAGGCTCAAGTGATCCCCTCACCTCTGCCTCCCAAGTAACTGGGACTACAGGTACACACCAGCAGGCCCAGTTAATGTTTGTATTTTTTTATAGAGACAGTTTTGCCATGTTGCCTGGGCTGGTCTGAAATTCCTGGGCTGAAATGACCTGCCCACCTCAGCCTCCCAATGTGCTGGGATTACAGGTGCAAGCAACTACTCCCGGCCTATAATTTTCCTTTTTTTTGAGACAGAGTCTCGTTCTGTCGCCCAGGCTGGAGTGCAGTAGCATGATCTTGGCTCACTGCAACCTCTGCCTCTTGGGTTCAAGTGATCCTTCTGCCTCCCAAATAGCTGGGATTACAGGCGTGCGCCCCCATGCCCAGCTAATTTTTGTGTTTTTAATAGACAGGGTTTCACCATGTTGTCCAGGCTGGTCTCGAATTCTTGACCTTAAGTGATCCCCCCGCCTTGGCCTCCCAAACTGCTGGGATTACAGTTTCTTCGCACTTGGGTCTATCATGAGGAGAATCATTTGGCAGTGAATGAAATTAGAATGTAACCTACATGTCATCTAAAAGGAAGATTTTTTCTTTTCCCAGAAGGAGGAATTTGACCCTTTGGTTTTGGTGTTTTCACAGGGTTGTTCATCACCCATGGTGGTAAAATTTGCTGATACTCAGAAGGACAAAGAACAGAAGAGAATGGCCCAGCAGCTCCAGCAGCAGATGCAGCAAATCAGCGCAGCATCTGTGTGGGGAAACCTTGCTGGTCTAAATACTCTTGGACCCCAGTATTTAGCAGTGAGTCTTTGTGGTTTGTTTTCTGCAGACTGTGCAAGCTCCCAGCTCTTTATTCTTCTGCTATCCCTAGCTAACAAACACAGTGGCATTTACAACTTTGGGTATTTAGAAATTGTATGTAAAAATTCAGATAGTACTATTTCATTTAGTCCCGTTAGTCTCTTGCTCTACATATATATCTCTGGACATGCATCTCTGGTTATATCTTGAGGCTTTTGCTGCAACTGAAGTGAATTCCTGATTTCCTGTTTTAAAGATTTAGAAACATCATGTGTCTTTGCCCCCAAGAAAGAAATTTCTGGCCGGGCGCGGTGGCTCACGCCTGTAATCCCAGCACTTTGGGAGGCCGAGGCGGGTGGATCACGAGGTCAAGAGATCGAGACCATCCTGG